CAGCAGATGGCAGGCTGCTGAGCAACAACATAGCTACATGCAGGGTCCAAGCGTGCTATAGGCTAGAGACCATTCTCGAAGCTTCTCCTTATATACAGGAAGCAGACCACATACCCAAAGGCAGCTACTCAGCTGCTCCCAGTAGATTCCACCATGGAGTTGATTACCAGTCTCATCATGGGGAATACTACATCCAGCTACCCAGCCACTCAACTAGGCCTAGCCAAGTTGACATACAAACATAACCATCACAGATGTGGAGAGATTGGAACTCTCATTCACTGTTGGTAGGATTGTAAAATGATAAAACCACTGTGGCATTAACATTAACAGAAGAATGGATAACCAAACTATGGTACATACACACAATGGAATACTATGCCTGTGCAACCCTAAATAATAATGTAGAATCTGCAAAACATTGTATAACATGCATGAACTTGGAGGACATTATGCTGAGTGGAAGTAAGTCAATCACAGAAGGACAAATACTGTATTAGTCCGTTATTGTAAAAAGTCAAGGAATGATTTATATGTGGAAGGAAATTTTCTTTGTTGGTTACCAGCGATGGGAGGGTAGGGTAGGGAACACTGTTAGATAGGTAGAGATAAGTATTGATTTGGGTAAAGAGAAGGGCAGTGTACCAAATGTGAGTGATCAACATGGTGGCGCTGCGGAAGAGGAAGACAGAGGTGCAGAGAGGTACAGACAGCAAAGATGAACCGTTTTGCACATACAATACTGCATTGTCAGTGAAGGCAAACATTGACCAATGGGTGGACAGATGGGTGGACAGGCTGAAATGTTAGGTATGTCTATGCACGGGGGAGGGTACCCATGACCATGTATAGGGTTGGCAGACAATGTTTCTACAAGTATATTTGTAAAGGGACAAGACTGTAGTTACTTCTTGGCCACAGCCAGCTACCCAGGGGGAACAAGTAGTTCGACCTGTGGGCTCAGGACCATGGTCACAGGGGACATCAAGCTCAATTGGCATAACATACTACACAAAACATTGTTCTACCTCCAACTTTGGCAAGTAGCGACTAGAATCTTAAAAGCTTACAGGCGGCCGTCCAGATGCAACAATGGGTCTCTCCTCATCCAGAGCAAAGAAGAATGAAGAAAACCAAAGATGCATGAAAACAATTAGTCCTAGGGACCAGTACACCATGTGATCCTCAGTCTATATGACTATGAGAACAGAAGAACTAGATGGTGCCCAGCTACCACTGTCAACCACTTGGAGGGGAATCTATGTAGGAGATTCAGGAGAGAGTGAGAGAATAATGTGGAACAAAAGTCAAAATTCATAAAAAAAAGAAAAGTACACATACATGAATCCTCTAATCTCCAGCCAGTGGCCTTCTGCATCCTCTTTAATTTCTGCTCACAGATATTCAGTAGATAGCTTTGAATGCCAGTCTTATCTGTGACATCACACATGTGTATTTCAGAGTTGGGAAGGGAGCAGGTGAGTGGGTATTTGTAAAGTGAAGGCTTAAAGCTGCCCTGGATTCAGAAGGACTAGATCTGAGCTTGGACTCAGCTATTTGACACAGTACTTTAGCTCTCTAAGAACAAAGTTGTTGGGATAACTTGCAAACTTTCTGGTCCCTGGGCCCCTTTATGTTCTTAAAGATTATTGTGAACCCCAGAGCACTTTTGTTTACATGGATTCTCTAGCAGCAGTTCTCTTAGAAATTAAACTGGGTTAGACGGTTTAGAAATGTTTACTCATTATTTTTAAATTGCAACAATGTATTCATTATGTCTTAATAAAATAACACATTTTTATAGAAAAACAGCTAGATTTTCCACATATAAAAATTGAATGAAAAGAGTGGCACCGTTTTACGTATTTGTAAGTTTCTTTGATAGCCAGCTTCATAGACGGCGGCTGGATTCTCCTGTCTGCTTCTGCATTCAGTCTGTTGCAGTGTCCCAGTCCATGGAGCCCCTGGGAAGCTCCCCTGTACCCTCCTGAGAGAGTGAACGTGGGCAAGGGAAGTAGTTCTCAGTGTGTGGAGACAATAGTTCTAACCCGCCAACCCCTGAGAGGGCCACTGCCTTCTATAATTACCGGGAACACACCTCCCTGGTCTCATTTTGGCCTCATGAGTTTGGAAAGAACTCTCTCCTAGGGGTCAGCATCACCGCAGAACCATTTCAGCACAAATGTTTCCTAATCAGCAGTTCTTGTACAAGAAGGATAAAAGTTGAGTAGTTCAAGAATATTATGTTATTACAAATACTCTTCAGTGAACAAAGCTCCTTATTTTTGTTTTTGTTTTTAATTCCAAACCCATTGCTGTCGAGTCAGTTCAGCCTCATAGTGACCCTATAGGACTGAGTAGAAGGCTGTAATCCTTATGTAGGAGCCTTGATGGTGCAGTGGTTAAGCTGTTGGCTACTGAACGAAAAGTCAGTGGTTCAAACTCACCCAGCAGTTGTGTGGAAGAAAGACCTAGTTATCAGCTTCCATAAAGATTTGAGGGTCCAAGCGTGCCATAGGCAACCCTATGGGGAAGTTCTCCTCTGTCACTGAGCACAACAGTCTTTAAAGAAACCAACTACCACATCTTTCTCCCACAGACAGGCTGGTGGGTTCAAACCTCTGACCTTTTGGTTAGCAGCTGAGCACTTTACTACACCACAGGATTTTGCCTTGTTTGTAGATTTTTTTTTAATCGTTAAAAATTATTTCCTTAGAATTTACTTCCTTGGATGATAACATTTCAGTGCAAAGATTTTTATATTGCCAGGTTACTTTCTAAAAGAGTCACCCTGACTTACTTTGCTTCCCACAGTGAATGAGTTTATAGATCTGTGGTGCAGTGAATCACTTAACATGGCCCTTCTAGCCATGGTCTTTGTGGCTCCCGCCACATGACTGAATGGGACTATGCAAATGTGAGGTGCTTGTGGCCCACCAAGGGGACTGGACAGTTTGTTAGTAATGTAAATAAAGCACATGGCACCCTTGTGGGTGTGGAACCATGGGAATAAGGTACGTGGAAACCTAACGTGGGAATTGGTCAATTTTGCCATCCTGTTAGGCTTCAAATGAGCCATCCCGGAGGCAGAAAGGGAGGATGTCCCTCTCATCAAGACAGAAGAAGAACCAGGAGTGGAGCGTGTCTTTGGACCAGAGATCTCTGCACTGGATCTCCTTGGCAGAGGGATGGTGGCCGCAGAATCAAGAAACCAGCACAAGACAGAGTGACGGGCTTCCCAGCTCACAGAGCAAGAGAGCGAGTGCCTTTGGGCAGGAGGGTTTGCTGGTGGAGTGGGCTGCCTCTTTGGGTGCCTATCGGCAGAGCTAAAAGAGCTTTATACCACTAGCCAGGCATGGCAGAGGCTAAGGCCAGAGAGAAGAGTGCCTGTGGCACGCTGAGAGGAACTGTCCTGATTGACAAACTGCATCCTGAGTTTCTGGTCCTGAATCCTAACCTGTTACTTCCCTAATAAACCCCATAATCCTGAGTATTGTGTGTCAGTTCTATGTGGCATTGCAGTGAATTACTGGACCCAGCAGAGAAGTAGAGAGTGCTGTTGGGAGGGACGGTTGGTGTCAGAATTGTAGAAAAGTTAGAGGGTGGCGGCTTGTCTGACTCCCACTGGTAGGAGTCACCCTTGGGCTATTGATGTTGTTCTGGACCCTTCTTCCCCTTGGTGAAGTTAGAGGAGGTTGGAGGATGCTGCTTCTGCACCCTTTTTGCCAGGTCTTGCCACATCCTTACCAGCTTTACGTGGTTTTTAGACAAATCTCCTCAACAGCATGTGTTTACCATCTATGATGTGCCAGGATTCATAGGAACCAGGGCTGTCTCTGTCTCATGGAACTCAGAATTGAGACCAGTCCTTGCAGTGAGTGGGGCGTCTACCCTAGTGTTTGGTTGGAATAGGAGGGGCGAAAAGGGAAGTTTCCTGGGAAAGGAACCTACGTCTAAACTGATACCTGAGAGGCAAGGTGGTTAGCTGTTACAGAAGCGAGGAAGAACATCTGAGAAGAGGACACAGCACTTGAGGAAGCCAAAACCCAGAGCCTACAGCTGATGTATCAAGAGGGGAAGTAGGGCTCCTCATGCAGAGGGAAGCATGGGGAGATCAGACCCCACCTTAGGGCTCGGAGACCTGCCTGCCTCTTCCCCAGGAGGACTGTGAAAAGTCACATGTGATAAGTCGTTTTTACATGAAAACCCTTTTTGAGCTACACAGCATAATACATATAAAACCATACCTATGGTCCAGAGCAAAGAAAAATGAACAAAACTAAGGACCCGTGTAAACAGTTAGTCCAAGGGACTAGTGGACCATGTGAAACTCAGCCTACATGACCCTGAGACCAGAAGAACTAGATGGTGCCCAGCTACCACTGTCAGCCACACAGAAAGGGATCAAAATACGAGATCCTGGATAGAGTGGGAGAAAAATGTTGAACAAAACTCAAAATCAAAAAAAGACCAGGTTTACTGGTCAGATAGAGACTTGTGAAACCCCTGAGACTCTGACCCCTAAGTGACCTTTTGGGCCTGGAATTAAATTCACACCTGTGACTTACAGCTAAACAATAGACAGGCGTATAAGGTGAACAGTTACACCAGATGATACACTCCTTAGAGAAATCAATCATGGGAGACCAGTATTTGCACAGGGAGATAGCTCAGAGGGCAGGAATGCATAGGAAAGGGCACAGGGAAAGGGTAACCAGAGGAAGGAAGTGGGAGGAGAGCTAGGCATTATCAATGTCATGAAACAAATTGAGTATGAACTGTTGTATAGAAAATGAATTTGCTCTGTAAACTTTCACCCAAATCAGTTTAAAAAAAAAAAAAAAAAACCTATGGAGGTGGTTAGATTCTAATAAGTCCAATAAAGATGAACTTGGACTGGTGAGAATTTTGGTAGCATTTAGAAGTAGTTTGCAACATAGCATTTCTTCTGGTCAGATTTCTGGTGATAGAGCTTAGACATCTTCTTGTCTTGGTTTCAGGGTTCCAAAAGAATTCTTCGCTCCAACGAGATCATCCTTCCAGCTAGTGGCCTGGTGGAAACCGAGCTCCAGTTAACCTTTTCCCTGCAGGTATGAGTGTACTCTTTCTTAGGTCACGTGTCCAGTCTAGTCCCAAAACAGTTCTCTCATTGGAAAACAGTTCTTTTTTCCCCCCAAGAGTAGCCTTAGCCCAGTTTGGGTGAGAATGAACTGTTAAAGTTACCTAGAGGTTTTATGGCTAGCCCAGAGGGCCAAAGCAGTCACTTGGCCAGTGAAATAGGGCTACTGGGAGCCTGGTCTGGTCGGCTGCTGACAAGCCTACACCAGGTTTCACTTTTCCTTTCCCTTTCCTTGTTGTTGTTGTTGTTATGTGCCGTCAAGTCGGACCCGACTCATAGCGACCCCTCCTTGGGTTTCCGAGGCAGTATCACTACGGAAGTAGATTGCCCCATCTGCCTTCTGAGGAGTGGCTGGTGGGTGTGAACTCCCAGCCTTCTGGTTAGCAGTCAAGTGCCTTAGCCACTATACTACCAGAGCTCCCTTCCCTTTCCTTGGCCCTGTGTTAGTCACCAGCTGTGTCCCACCCATCCTGCCAGCTCAGCCCATCAGCTCACAGTGACCCACAGCACACACCCCAGCAGAGTGTGTCCCCTTCAGTCCCATTTCCCGCTCGCAGTGTCATCTCCATCCCTCCTCCTCACCCCTCCTCCTGTGTATCTCTCTCATCATAATCCCAGTAGCTGAGGTTGACAAAACACTTGATCAGATGGTAAGCAAAGAGGCAGTGTTCTGAGCACATGAGGTGCACAGAGATGTTGACGGGAAGCCAGTCACCTGGCAGAGTCAGAACCCTGGGCAGCAACTTAAGGTCTTTCGCACCCTGATCAGCTCCCCTTCACAGACAGGAGACGTTGAAGCACAGAAAGACCGTGCCCCGTCCGTCGGGACCAGAAGCCACCGAGGACCCGAGTGCTTACTAACCGTGTTTGGCTCTGTTTGTGCTTGATAGTACCCTCATTTCCTTAAGCGAGACGCCAACAAGCTGCAGATTATGTTGCAAAGGAGAAAGCGGTACAAGAACCGGACCATCCTGGGCTATAAAACGCTGGCTGTGGGGCTCATCAACATGGCTGAGGTAAGAGGAACGCAGTCTGATGCTGTCACCTCTAAGTCCAAGAGCCCGAGGGAGCGCCGGCCCAGCCACCAGAGCCCAGCCGACGAGTTTCCCAGCCTTGTGGCTAGCTGTTCCATTTTATTTTACAAATTAATTATCTTACAGAAAATTAGGGTTATACCTCTTTTCATCAAAGACTTTGTCCTGCACAAAAAGTTTTTTCCTTTAACTTTAAAAAAAAAATACTAATTTTAAGCTTACAGAACAGTTATAAGAATGATGTCAAGTGTTCCCATATATACGTTCCCGTTTCTTCAGTTTCCCACATATGATCACGATTGTCTTAGTGTTCTTTCTATATACATTCATGTGTGTAGTTTCTTTTCTGAACTACGTGAGAGTAAATTGCAGGCCTGGTGCTCATTACACTATAACAGGGCAGTATGTTAATTTCCTGAAAATAAGGACACTCTCCTCCCCAAGTTTTGAGCCCCCCTGGAGACCGGCACCTTCACGTGGACAGAGGACCCTCTCAGCACGGCCTGCTTTCCGATTCTGCTGCCAGTCTCCACAGAGTGCCCTTCACAGGCCCAGAGTCTAACCTGGGATTGCACATTGCACACGGTCAGCTGGCCTCTCCGAACTCCTGTTTGGAACAGCCCCTCAGGTTTTCCTTCTCTCTCATGACCTTGACATGTTTTAAGAGTACAGGTTGGTTACTGTACTGACCATTCCTCAGTGTGGGTTTGTCCAGCATCTTCTCAAGCTTAGATCCAGGTTGTGTGTTTTTGGCAGAATCACCGCACAGGTAAAGCCACGTCCCGCCTACTCAGTGCAGCACGGCAGGTGGCACTCGATACCCATTCGTTCCATTACTGATGACGCTAACTTTACCACTTGGTCTCTTGGTCTTCCAATATAAGTTAATTAATATGGACTTTGTACTTATTAGTGAAAAATCCTGTGTGGGGAGATCCTTAGAGATCGTGTAACTTCCCCTTTTCCTCATCGTGTTTTCACTACCTTCTTATTTAGCATCAGTCAGTGACCTTGGCTCAGAGGTGACTCCTCACCCATCCTTCCCAGTGTATTTACCAGCTGATTTCTGTCACAGGATGGAGCTTTGCCTTCCCTCATTTATTATCAGCCCATTTGTGTGTGTCAGTTAAGGACCTAGGGCCTCCTGTTCTGTTCATGGGCTTTAATATGTTCCTGTCGTTACTGGTTTTGACACCCAGATTCTTTCAGTATGACTGACCAGTGGGGCCTCCTGCAGACTGGTTTCTGTGTCCATTCGATGACCTTTATCCTTCTTATACTTTCTAACTTTCTGACACAAAATATTCCAGGCTCATTTGTACCTTCTCTGACCCAGCCCAGGAATGAAGAGCCAATCCTCCAAGAAGCCCTGGTTCCTTTTAGTGGTGAATGATATTTAGAAACCCCGATCTGGGTACTAAACCAAAAACCCAGACTGACTGCCATCTAGTCAATTCCAACTTATAGTGACCCTATAGGGCAGAGTTTCCAAGGCTATGTCAGTCTTTATGGAAACAGACAGCTACATCTTTCTCTTATGGAGCAGCTGGTAGGTTCAAACCACTGACCTTTCGGTTAGCAAATGAGTGCTTAACCATTGCACCACCAGGGTTTCTATCTGGGTAGTAATCCCTTTGCCATCGAGTTAATTCTGACTCAGAGACTCTATAGGACAGAGCAGAACTGCCTCTTAGGGTTTCCAGGTCCGTAAATCTTTATGGAAGCTGGCTGCCATAGCTTTCTCTCACAGAGTGGCTGATGGGTTTGAACCTCTGACCTTTGAGTTAGCAGGCAAGAGCTTTAACCACTGCACCACCAGGGCTCCTTATGTGGGCACTAGGAATGCTCATTGCCCCAACTGTGGCGCCATTGCTTCTGCTCTCTGGTGGACAAAGCTAGGAAACAGTTTGTGCTCAACTGCTAACCTAAAGGTGGGAGGTTCAAACCCACCTAGTAGAAAAGGCCTTGCAGTCTGCTGTGTTAGGATGACAGCCAAGAGAACTCAAGGTGGCAATTCTACCCTGTAACATACGTGCTCACCATGAGTTAGAATCGACTCAACAACAGCTAACAACAACATATGCATTGAAAAAACAAAAACACTGATCGCCTTCAAGGCAGTTTTGATTCATGGAGTTCCCACGCATTACAGAGGCAAGCACTTCACAGGGTTTGCTTGGCTGTCATCTTTATGGAAGCAGATAGCCAGGCCTTTCTTCCATGGTACCACTGGATGGGTTTGAACCACCAACCATCAAGTTAGCAGTTGAGCATGAACCATTTGTGCCACCCAGGGGTCTGTGTACACACTCTGAGTCTATTTCCACGTCTCTGTCTGCCTGTCTAACCATGACTTCACATCAGTAACTTCAAATCTGGTCTAACACCACAGGATTTACTTTGCCTTCCTGCTTTCTATATTGTAACTCCCTTCTCCAGCACGAGAAACCAGGCTCCCATTACCCTCAGTATACTTGCTTACTCGGGCAGTTCTCCTTTACACCAGTCAGATCCCCCCAGCCCTGACAAAGAAGCCACAAATCAGTTTTTTTTTTTTTTTTTTTTT